CCCCAAAACCCCAAAACCCCAAAACCCCAAAACCCCAAAACCCCAAAACCCCTGGTTTTATTTAAATCCTGAACTTAAGAATTTATATAAAAATTTAAAACAAGCATGAAGTCAGGAGGAACTAAGAATCTTTTAGTTTCGATCGTTCTTGTTATGGTCTTGATCCTAAACAGTGTTGCCACTGCTGATGATAATTCTAGCACCAGCCATGGCATTCCATCAGGCACGTGGAGCTCTTCAAGATCCAGAACTAGCTCTGTTTCGTCAAGAGATGGGCCAGGATTGCCAGGACAATGGTCCCTCTCGTATAATCCTCAATCTGAAAGACATTCTTATGATACAAACAATCCTCATGTTGATGATATTATTAACAGTGCTCCAGTGCATATTAAGGTCGACTCGAAAGATAGCAACAAGGAATATAGCGGACATGGAATCCCCTTTGGAACATGGAGTACATCCACTGACGAAATTAGTTCTGCCTCTACTAGGATTGCTCCAGGGAGTGTAGGACAATGGTCCCCATATTCCTCTCCTCCAAGTTATGAAGAATCTCTTGCAACTCATCAGCCTACCCCAAGGAATCTCGAGGCCTCACAAACTGTAACTAGTAGTGCCTCAGGAACTAGTCTTACTGCTAGTACTACCCATCAGACTAGAGCTTCTTCAGATTCCACTGTTAGAGCTACTTTGGCCCATTCGACAGGACCAGCTCGCAGCTCAACTTCTATTCACAGAGCTTCAACTGGAAAGAGTACTGCTGGTCACAGCAGTGCTGGTGCTAGTGCAGCTGTTCATGCAGGATCTGCAACTGCTCACTCAAACTTAAATGCTACCGCAGCCTTCAGAGCTGGGTCTTTTGAGCCTGTTGCTCATCATGCAGCTGTGGTCGAACCAGTCGTCCATCGTCCAGGTTTTGCTGAGCCAATGGCTTACCAAACAGCTGTAGTTGAGCCTTTCCATCAAGGTGCCTTAGTCGAGGAAGTCCTTCCATCTCACTACAGAAACTCAATGGCTTATGAAAGACCAGGTGCTATAGTTGAAGAAGTAGCCGTTGCTCCAGTCAGGATTGAAAGGCCCTACATTTTAGAAGAGAGAGCTGTTTTCGAAGACGTAGTTATCGAGCATGATTCTCCAATAGTAGAATTCCAAAGACATTTACCAACGACTGAGAATCAGAAATTTATCAACGAATATAATAAGAAGAAATATCCAGGCCTTATCTTTGGTGTTGACGAAGAAATCGAAATTGAGAAATGCTTCCATCAGGCTATTGATTACTATCAAGACGCCCAAGTTGAAGAGATCTATGAAGACGGAGTTATTCAAAGCCCCTTTGGATCAAAACATGTCAGGAGTCCTTCTTTCTCTCATGTAAACAGGCCAGCGAGACAACATGAAGAAGTCCTCGAGAAATGCGTTCACAAGACAATTATCGCTCCGACTTCTGAGAATGGAGTGAGGATCCCTCAAGTTAGATATTTGAACCTCACCCAAATTAAGACTGGGACTTTTGAATGGCCAGTTGTGAGAAAAGCTCAGGTTTTGGCAAGAAAAACTGTTGAAAAGACTGTTACTATTCCACAAGTTGGATTCGTTGACTTGTGCCAAGATCACCCAACTAACGAACATTCAGTAATTATTCCGCAAGTTCATACTGTTCTGGTTGAGCAGATAGTTCATACTGATGAATGTGAGGTGAGCATTCCACAAGTCCATAAAATTTGGATTCCAATCATGGGAGATGTTACAGTTGACCAGTATCCAACGAAAACAAGGAGAGTCAGTTTGAAGCAAGAATGGGACTGCACTATCAGATGTGAAGATACTAGGGTTCACTTTATTAAAATCCCACAGAGAGATGAAGGTATCTCCGGAACTGTAATCAAGAACCCATACAATGAAGGTAAAAATATTTGCCACAACTGTCATACTTCTAAATGTGCTGGTGTTGGGCCATCTTTGAACCCATTCTTAATCAATGAGCACAGAGATACAACTCCAGCTGCTGCTCCTGTTGTTGTACAAGCACCAGCTCCTGAACCGGAGGTTAGAGTTGAGACTAAATATGTTGAAGTAATAAAAGAAGTGCCTATTCCATGTCCTGAGCCAGAACCACAAGTAGTTATTGCTCCAACTCCTGCACCAGTGGAAGCTCCTGCACCAGCTCCAGAGCCAGAAGTAAAGGTAGTAACAGAGACAGTGTACGTTGAAGTGCCAGCTCCAGTAGCTGAGCCACAAGTAATTTACCAAAAGCAAGAGCCAACTGAAATTCATCACATCAAGCTTGGCCAGTGCCCTTGCTCAGAAACTATTGTCGCTAACCCAGTGTCCTTCGCAGAGGGAGCTCCTGGAGCTCCAATCCAATTCTTACAAGGAGGTGCTGCTGAAGCTTCTGGAGGCTTCCCATGGTGGCTGATTCCTCTCCTTTTATTCTTACCTCTCCTCCTAGCTATGCTTCTAGCATGGCTCCTCTGTAGAGGTAGAAACAGAAAGGAAATAGTCGCAGCTGCTCCTGTTGAGCAAGACTCTCCAAAAAAGAAATTCGTTATTGCAAAGACAACCAGAGAAGAAGCTGAAGAAGAAATTGAGAGAGAAATTGCAAGACAACTAGAAGCGAGAGCTCATGGTAAAGGGAATGCAGCAGCCGTAGGAGGTGGTCATATTGCCGGTGCTGAAGAAAGAAAAATAGAAAATGCTCACCAAGTCCAAGCTATTCAAGAAGCAAGAGGTTCGCAAGAAGCTAATGTTGCTGGAGAGCAGAGAGTCATCCAACAGGAGACATCAATCGTCACCAAGAATGTCAAATCTGCCCATGATGCCAAGATCGGTCATGTAGGTGCCGAAAGCACTGCAGTGGCAGCCATTGGAGGAGCAAGAGCTGGTGGTGTTATCGAAGAAGGAAAAGCAGCTAGTGCTGGGTCACCAGGTACAAGAATCAAGCAGCAAAGACCAGAAAGCCCTGGCTCATCTCGTGGCTCAAGAGGAAGAGACAGATCTTCTAGAGGATCAGGCTCAAGCAAAAAGGTCGTCAAGAAGAGAATTGTCAAGATGATGAAACAAGGAAAACTTGTAGCCGAGAAGGAAGAGATTCTTGATGCCGAAGGAAATGTCATCAGAACAGAGATTAGAAAGGAAGGCTTTACCAGTGGCTCCCCAGATAGAGCATCATCTTAATTCTGATTCTTTGCATGATTCACTCTGATAATTCAACAATTTTATTTCAGGAAGGGGTTTTGGGGTTTTGGGGTTTTGGGGTTTTGGGGTTTTGGGGTTTTGGGGTTTTGGGG